GTTTGTTTATTATGTATTGAAGCATAAGATGAAGGGTGTTATTGTCGAAACGAATTTGGGTTTTTTGTTAGTGTTTCCTGCATGAGCAAAATTATGGTTTTTAACGATTTTTTGTCATTTCTCGGAGTGCACCTGCCACGGCAAAATGAGCTAAATCTTCTAAAAACTACACTAACATTCTCAATGTCTTGGGATAGTGCTGTGTGAAAATAAACGGGATGCATTTTGAAATTGAAATGTTTTTTTTTTTATACATTTGTAAGTAACTTCTTCGGGACACCCTGAATGCTCTCCTCAAAACACTTGATACCGATCGTTTATGAACCCGACAAAAATTACGTTGGCCGCCTTGGACCACTGTGACCGTACCGAACGGGCGACCCGACCCGGACACTGCCCCAGGCAATAAGCCGAGCCGTGCCGGGCGGACGAACCACAGATTGATGATGAGCCGCTCCTGTAAGTCGCCACCTGTCGCCGCCGCCGGCTCCCGAACAATGGAATGATAACAATTCTCCCTTATCGAGCTGGCTCAGCAACGCTGTTAGAGTTGATGACAATGCCCCGTCCGATCCAGAGGACAGCTTAATGCTTGTTGGCTGTGATAAGAGCTTTGCCATCAAACGAATCAGTAAATAAGGATGTCATGGAATGTCTTTTATTGCTGTTGTTTTTTTATGGATTAGCCGGATGTGAGTCTTGCTGGAAAGCGCCTCTGGCACTTTGTGCCTCATCGGGCAGTACCCTGCAGCAGGTAACAAATCTCGTTAGGTGCTCACCGACGGCGTAACTTTTTTCATCTCTCTTTCTACCCTTTCACCTTGTGAGGTAATGAGGTTCAGCTCCAATCATCTGAAAGGTCATCCAGTCCCAATTAAAGGGGCGTGCGGTTCTTACGCCCCTTCCCCGCTTCAACGTGCCAACACCATACCGCGGTAAAAAATAAGCATTTTTGCAAGATGCATTGCGTTCTTGTCCTATTTCGTCCTTGATGCTTTTGATATGACAAAAACTATCTGTTGATGAACTATCAATGCTGCGTGTTTGTACAGTTAGGAATATGATGAGTGAATGCCTTCGTTAAAAACCTCCCGCTAATAAGGAAATCAAACACAAGATGGTCGCTGGGCCCATATTATCGAATACGAGTAGTGCTAAGGGAGCTGGCTATTAGAGAAAGAACGGAGTTCCAGAACATATGTCTTTCTGTCATGACGTAGTGTGAAAGTGAGTCTGGAATCTGGATTGCGAGGTGGCGCCAGCGAGCAATAGTATACCTATCACCTCTCGATTGAACGCTGAGGTCTACCGTCCGACAGTTGAACAAATGTCACAGGAATGTCGCGGATTCATTTCTGCCATCACCTCTGACATTTGCTCACAGCGAAGGTATCCGAAATAATCAAACTTGAGTACCGTGCATGTCGGCTAGAGTTGATAAAAGTGGTGACATTTTCTGACCCGATATAGACCTAATGTCACCTGTGTGACGCCATGACTCGTATTTTGGCAATATTTCGGTCCATCAAAGCAGCATCTGACCGCTGCTGTCTCAGAGGAGCCGGTGTTCGGCGTCTGCCCGATCGGATCACCGTATATCCGCCACGTGTTCGTGCCGATTCTGCGCCAATACCAGCCTTTCCCGTGGCGGAACCGCGGCGCGGACAGTGCTCTTTGAAGGCAGCGAGTATGCAGAATACTGATTTCTCGCTGACACTCTTACAAAGTAGCGCGCATTGGACAGTCACCAGGCGTACCTACTGAAACTAAATGTAGCGGACGGCTGTTGAGTAGACTGGGTTCCTTTCAGTTCTGTCATTTCAGCACGGACAAACGGAGTTCTTTCAAACCTGATTGAACTGACTGTTTTGCTCTGACTAATCTTATTCTTCTTCTTCAACTCTGGATCGACCAAAAAACCACTGTCAGAGCTAGTGTACCTATACTCAAGTGGTGTTAGGGTTATGTTGAGGACAACCTACACGGTGGGTCTAGAATGTTTGAGAAAACATGTAAGCTCTTTTTTGCTTTTTTTGCTCATACATTTTCTACATAAAGCTAGCCAAAGCCAAAAAAGCAAAATCAACTTTTCTTTATCCCTTCTTGTCTCAGCTTTATTTCCATCCCATTTCCCCTAGCCTCACTTTCCTCCATTCTAATTCTGTCCAATCCTTGCTCCATACGGCTACTTTCATCTAAGAATCACCCTCTGCTAGTTGCGAGAAGTCCGCTCCCGGGCACGCAGGCACTGCGCGCCATCCGACTGGCTCGGCTCGACATTCCACAGGACGCGCAGAGTCCATGGCGCGTCTGTCTGGAAGGGGCGCGATGACCGGCCGCTGCCCGGCCTACCACCGTCCGTCGGCGTCCTCAGCGGAGAGCCGACTGGAGGGCGAGGCAGTACCGCTCTCCTCCTCCGCCATCAGCTCCGGCATGTCCAGCAGCTCGGCGCACATGTTCCGCAGCGTCACCACCTTGGGCAGCTGGTGCTCCACCGTGTCCAGCGGCACGCCGAGCGGCAGCGTCTCGGCGCGCGGGTCCAGCAGCTCGGCCAGCACGGCGGCCAGCTCGCGCTCGGACATGTGCTCGCCGTTGGCCTGCAGCGCTCTGAGCAGCTCCTTCCTGGGCAGGCCGCCGTGGTGGCCGTGCCGGGAGCCGGACTGCGAGGCCAGCGTGTGCAGCGCCCAGTCCAGTTGCCGACCTGACACGGACGACACCGGGCCGTGGTTGATGTACAGCCGGATGATGTCGTCCAGATGCACCTCCTCCACCAGCTCGCCGGTGGCTGCGTAATCGCGGTACCGCACCTCGTTCTGCATGTCATCGATCTCCTTCTCTGTGGGGAAGAAGCCAATGGCGCGCAGCACGTCGGTGACGGTGTGAAGCGGCACCGTCTGGCTGACGGCGCGTCGCTCCAGCAGGTCCTCGCCCTGACACACCAGCTGGGTATAGTAGACCAGGTCCTCCAGCTTCCGGTACAGCTCGCCCTCGCGGCCGCCCTCCAGCTGGTCGTAGAACGGCGTCATTCCCATGCCACCCAGCATGGACATGGCCTCCAGCGACTCGGGGTAGATCTCCCACATGAAGACGCAGCCGTCCTCACCGCCGGCGGAGAACAGCCAGCGGCCGTCTGTGCTGCAGTCCAAGTGCTCCACTTTGTTGGGGTGTCCGACCACAGTAGCTGCCTTGCGCGGGTTGCCGTCGAGCGGCAGGATCTGCAGGCCGATCTTGCCGCTGGTGGAGAAAGCAAGGTACGAGTGCTGCTCTTCAGCCAGTCCCGTGTCGCAGGAGAGGATCCGCGGGATCACCTTCATACGCTCCACTGGCGCACCGTACTGTGGACCCAGCACTACGCGGCGGCACATACGGGTGTGTGCGTTGAACAACTTCATTTTGTACTGAGAGTTGGCGACCAGGATGAAGTCCTCGGTGGTGAGTGGCGGATAGAGCGCCATGCAGAGCGGGATGGCCGACTGCTCCAGAGTGTCGCAGCACAGCACTACCGGATTCTCCTTGGTGCTGTTGACCAGGTCGTACTCGACGAGCACTCGGTCCTCGCCGAGCGATAGCAGCCGAGGACCCGCTGACACGTCCTGTCCGGGCGCAAACAGCAGCTCAACAATGGGTCGGTGGTGGGCGCGCCATCGCGCCAGCACGCCCCACTGGTGTATGGTCACCTCGAAACGGTACACTGACACGACCAGATCATCGTCCCGCGTGGCGAGCAGGTCCGAGTCTGGTGAGAACAGACACTGGGTGATGGCGGCGCGGCTGAGAGTGATTCGGTCACCCTCCGGCAGCAGCGTCAGACCGTCCAGAATGACCAGTTCACCGCACTGCATGCCGACGGCCAAGTGCAGACCGGACGGGGAGTAGGCCAAGGAGTGGACGCGGTTGCTTCCCGTCAGCACTGTCTCCAGGACCAGTTGTTTGTGCTGGAAATCGTAGACCCGCACGCTGCCGTCGTAAGCGCCGATCGCCAGGTAAGGCTTAGTTCGGTTCACGTCCAGGGCTCGCACGGTGACCACGGGGAACTGTGCGATGCGCCTACAGCTGGAGGTGCGCACCTGCACCAGGCCGCAGAACCCGTCGGACGCCGTCACCAGCAGGTCGCGACACGTGAACTCTGCCGCCTCCAGGCTGGCGTCCCCTGGGTACGGCATTTGCTCGCTGTCCATCGAGTCAGTATCGGGCAGTGGGCCGACACTGTCGCCGCCAGCACTGTGCAGGGAGTCGGGTTGTGTGGAGCCCTGTCTGCCCGACCGCACCGGCTGCAGTCCAGATGACAGACACCGCACGGCGGCCAACCCGAAGCGCTGGTACCACTGTCGCAGACGCAGCTGGCCGTCCAGAAACCGCAGCTCTCCGGCCGCCGTGCCGGCACAGATCACACCGTCTGTGACTTGCAGACAGGTTATCTGTGCCTCGCTGATCTTGAGCACCTTGCGAGCCTCCTTCTTGACGGTGGGCTTCAGTTTCTCCGGATCGCACGGGGCCGAGGGACGCCGATCGCTCCACAGAATCACGTAGCCTTTCTCTGTGCCGGTGAAGACTGCGTACGGGTCGTCGCTGGAGAAGGCCGTCTGTGTGAAATGCCCCGGACTGCACTTGAAGTCGGGAGAGTAGGTGCTGTGTAGCTGAGGACAGTGGTGGGCCACCCCAGTATCCGTCATCTGGAAGAAGAGCATGCGGCAGGCGGCGGTGGTGGCCATCACGGCAGAATCCATCTGGCTGACACTCAGGTGGTGATGGAAACCGTGGCCAATGCCAAACTGGTGCACCAATGTGGGCACGGCGCCGTCTATGGTCCAGTCCCAGCAGACGAGCTGCTGTCGTGCACGACCGCCGACCTCCTCCACATTGCCCCACAGGCCGAGGACGTACCGGCTGTCGCAGCTGAACTCCAGCTGTAGCGGACCTGAGAACGCTGCGGACGGAAAGTGCATCTGCAGCGGCGCGCTCATGGCGGCGTCCCACACGATAAGCGCGTTGTCTGGCCCAACATCCCCGGAGACGATCCAGCGGCCATTGCGGGAGGCAGCCAGACCGCACACGCAGTTCCGGTGGCCCTGCAGGATGCGCTGCGTGTTGTTGCCGTAATCGTAGATGACGGCACACTGAGCGGCACCGTAGACCATTAGCTGGCTCTTGCCCGAGGTCAGGTTGATCACCGGAGCTCTGCAGGAGCCGCCGAAGGCCCAGCGCGTCGTCAGCGGCCTGGAGGCGGGCAGGTCGCCCTCGTCGGTGGCGGTGGTGTAGCGGTGCACGCGGCGCCTGGCGCGCTCCTCCATCTCCTCCTCATCCAGGTGCTCTTCGTCCTCGCCCTCGGCGTGCTCGCCGGCCGCCGTCAGGTCCGGCTCAGACTTCTGCAGGTTCTCGATCAGCTCCTCCAGTAGCATCTCGGACTCGGTGACACGGTAGTCGGCGCGCGTGTCGACCATCTGCACCTCCTCCTCGGCGTGCCAGATCTGCGAGAGCACCGAGCGCACCGCCGGCGTGGCCCAGATCTCAGACAGAATGCTGCACACGTGCTTGTCGTCGTTATCGCTTGACCAAATCTGACTGAGGATGCTGCGGATATCGACCTTTTCGACACGCTCCTTCCATATTTCTGAGAGCACCGAACGGAGCTTGGGAGAGCCCCATATCTCAGACAGCACTCCCTGGATGGCGGGAGTGGACCATATCTCGCTGAGAATACTCTTAGGCGGCGGTTCGTTATGATCACTGGACCAGATTTGGCTGAGCACGCTGCGAATGTCCACTTTTTGGACTGGCACTGTCCAGATATCACTGAGGATGGAACGTATCGAGCCAGAGCCCCATATCTCCGACAGTATCGAGCGCACTGCGGGGGTGCTCCAGATCTCACTGAGTATGCTGATCAGTCGCTGTTTGTTGTCGTCACTCCATATCTGGCTGAGAATACTCCGTATGTCGACATGCACCGGCGGATCCGACCAAATATCACTCAGAACACTCTTTGGTTCGACAACTTGCACCACTTCTTCCCAAATTTCTGACAGTATAGCCCGCACAGCAGGATTGGCCCAAATTTCCGACAGGATGCTGTGTATGACCGTCTCATCTCGGGCCCAAATTTGGCTGAGAATGCTTCTTACATCGTGGAACTCAATGGGATCGGCCCAGATCTTCTCTAGATCAAACTGACACTCTGCAGGAGGTGTATCACCTTTTGGCTGGTGTTTCTCGGGAGAAACTATGGGTGCTGGGCCGGGCGGTATAGTCGGTACTCCAGCAGCGGACGAGGATTTGTGCGGGACATCCTTGCGCGAGCCGGCACTGCCTTGCTTCGATCCACCAGGAGATTTTGTGACATGGGTCGCAGACGAACTGATCATCACCGTCGCCACATTCGTATCCGTCTTATCCTCGTCCGCTGCTGACGCGATGGGCTCAGCCTCTGCGGCAGCGGGAGTCACATCCGTGGTCTCGGACTCTGGAGCAGCTGCGGGCACTTCTGGACTCTCCGGGACGACATCAGTCGGGTCATCAACCGGCGATACTTCCGACTGAGGCGGCTCGGCCGAGTTTTCCTCTGGCTCTGGCCTAGGAACGTCTGCCGAGTCGTCTTCCTTCTCAGACATCTCGTCTAAGAATGATTGTGTCCTTTAATTGATGATTTATTAATATCTTAATAAGTTTGCGTACGACACTGATAATATGGTTGCGAGCAAACTGAAAGACTGGTATCCACCGGTTTCTTTACAGACAGTCATGTTACCACTTCAATAAGTTTCAGCATTATCGGTTGAGGGATTCCTTGTTTTTCATCGATTTGAACATGACTCTCAATAAGCCACAGCACCTCCGATTTCGATTTTCAAAATTTGTTGGTTGGTTTCCTCACTTTTCCCTTTTATTTATCCCGAAGTAGGTGAATATATCGTTAACAAACTTACGGTATATCCTTTAAGATCAACATGGTTCAAGGCGACAAAGCAAGAAATATAAATTCACGATAGGGTAACCAAAAAGAGCAGCCTTGTAACGACGTTGAAAACGGTTTTGAACGATGCGCTGTCAGATAGAAATGCAAAAAGAAAGAAAATGGTATGTACAAAACATTTGGTATAAGCTATTATGCTAAATCGTTATCCGGATTTTCTCATTGTTAAGTGTTTACCCCCAAAATAAAAGTTTTTCGTTACTCATGGTCTTTTTTAGCATCTTCACTTTTATCTCTTTTTTCCGTTAATAGTCGTTACTCATCTTGACCTGACCTGCAGTGACCGCTATGCGGCCAAATGGCGTCCTGCTGGCGGATCAGTCACATCCCGACCTCCCGTGACCTCATGTGACCTATGTGCGGTCAGACGGCATCCTTCTGGTGGACCCGTAGCACCCTGACCTCCTGTGACCTTCTGTGACCTTTGGTGACCCCTGTGCTGTCAGACGGCGTTCTGCTGGTGGACCCGTCGTACCCTGACCTCTGGTGACCCCTGGTGACCTCTGTGCGGTCAGATGGCGTCCTACTGGTGGACCCGTCGTACCTGGACGGCCGCCAAGTGTACGGGCAAGTGATCTGCTCGTTCCGCTACGGCCGTGAGGAGGATGAGGTCATGGGCCTCAACTTCCAGAAGGACATCTACCTGGCCTCCGAGCAGGTCTACCCCAGCGTCAACACAGACACGGCCAACATGTCCAAACTGCAGGTGGGTGGACGCTCAGCTCTCCCCCCCCCCCCCCCCCCCCCACACCAGTGGTCTCAGTAGGAGGCGGTGTCAGGGAAAAACCTGGCGTCTCCTCCAGACATATACCGTCGCTGATTACATTACTTTCGCTCAGATGCGAACGCCATTACGGATACAGGTGCAAAATACATGACGATATTACCTGTACTGCATGAAAAATCTTGATCTTTAGATGATGTATTATCCATGTTAATGTACCGAGCCGTCCTTTGCAAATCTCGATACCCACTCTTACATATTAATAATGTCGGTCAATAGTAATCACCCACGGCACGCACCCGCCTCCACCCACTCCCTCTCATCCCTTCCCCCCACTCTGCCGTACAGGAGCGTCTGCTGAAGAAGCTCGGCCCGCACGCCGTGCCGTTCACGTTCCACCTACCCCAGAATGCGCCCTCCTCGGTCACACTGCAGCCCGGCGAGACGGACCAGGGCGCGCCCTGTGGCGTCGAGTACATCCTCAAACTGTTTGTCGGCGACTCAGAGCTGGACAGGTCACACAAAAGGTGAGTCGCTGTGCGAGGAATGGATGCTTGTGTGCAGGGACGATGGAGCTTGTGCATTGCAAACTCAGCAATATTTACTAAATAATAGGTAGCCGTTTCCACGACGGACTATCTGGCGAGTGCACCTAATTTGACGAAATCTGCACCAACTCTCTTTTACAATAATATCTTCACATCGGCCGTTTTCACGACGGAATAGCAGGCATCTATTTAATCCCCATTTAATCCTTTAGTTCCTCAGGAATTTTAGTAGTTCTTTTTAGTAGGTTCCCCAGCTTTCGAATGAATGGTGCGTTAGTTTGCTATTTTTCTATTAAATATCACATCGATTTACTTTATCTAAGGATTTATCACTAATATCAACATAAAGCGTAAGCACAATTATAAAATTATGAAATTATTAAATGCTAGTACGATAGTTAAAAAAAGATACTGAGTTGCCAGGCTACAAAGAATATATTCATTTATGGCGCACGACAGACATTTAGAAAGCAGCGCCCTGTTTTATTGCACGCTGCTAGCCGCTTCCATTGGGTTTTGCAGGCCGACGTCATTGGTCGTTACACGTATGATGTCACGCGACTTGTGGCCTGTCACGGCTCTTTAATGATCTCCACTAAATGAATGCAACAATGGCCTTTTAAGTTGATCTCTGTGGCCATCTGTTTATGGAGCGACCAATATGAAAGTTGGGTGAATTTACCGGGGTTACATGATTATGAGCAAGCAAATGTGTATCAGGAATGGATTTAGGTGGAAAATTGCGCTGGACCACGAGTGCTCGAACGCTCCCAATTCCACGCCGGTTTGGCTTTGGAGCCGAGACAGACGATGCGGGTCAAGGTCACCGCTGGGGTAACGGTGGATTGGCTGCGCCCGAGCACCCGTAACGCGGCACAATTCTCCATCTATGGATTTTCCTATTCGCTCAGCATTGTGATAGGCGTTCGTAATAGCATTTACTCTGCTCATGTACCTATCCCCGGTTATTTAAAAGAAGTTTTTGTGGGGGAATATCACGGCTTTAGGTACTCGGTGGCCCTATTCACGACTTTCAAAGAATGCTCCGATAACTAAACACCGCACAGACCTACTGCATTAGTGAATCTGACAGAAGGTCTGTGGAATTACATCCCCCCTCACCACACCCCTAAAAACTCATCCAGTGTCCAAAACCACTTTATCGACTCGCAAAAAAAACACACACACACACACACATACACACACAAAGCATGGGGCATGTCAGCTCTCAGTTCATTTATCATTGTCTTTACCATGGTTCAATTGCATTGCGCGATTTAAAGCACGTGAGTGCCTATATAGTATATATGTACTATGTAGAAAATAATATCTACAGCAAAACATCCAAAATTACAAAGGCTACAATGCTTAAAAAGTAGGTTCATCAAGGAAGCCCATTTTTACTTGCGTTGTGTTCCCAACCATGCGATTCCAACGCGGGCTATTCGCAACGTCTGTTAAGGCACGTTAACAACTGACAAGCCGCCACCGCTGCCACTTATTCATAGATGGTTGATATCGCAGCTTGGGCGTCAGCAGCGCGGCCCACAACGCGTCGGCGCCAGCGCACGCAGCTGTTGGCACTCGGCAGCCGGTGTTGCGACTTAACGGCCGGCCGGCCCCATGAAGGAGAAGCTCTTGGTGAAGCTTTGTGATCGCCTCATAGCCGCCTTGGATGTCATCTTTCTTGGCAGATCCATCCGTTCAGATGGTGCGGTGCAGTCTGGATAAAGGACGAAGTCCAACGCCGCTAACCCCGCGACCGCCACCCCACAACGTGGCCGCAGACCGAACGGGCGTGAGGGCCGTAAGGGCCACCCCGCCATCCGGTAGGTGGCTGAGCAGCCGGGCGCAGCGGCGCCTGGGCGGCGGCCGCGCTGAGATGAAGTCCCAAACCGCCATGTCGCCATCACCGCCATCACCATTGCTGCAGCTGTTCCCAACCGCCTCAATCGCCGCCGTTTTGCCAGCAGTCGCGCCGCGGAATGGCAGAAGCTCCAGAGTAGCCTCCAGCGCCCCTCTCCGCACGTGTGCAGGTGCACTGCGCCGCCGCCGGGTCCGACGTCCAGGCAGAACATGATATTTCCATGCTGCTCCGACGGTGGGCTGGTCTTGTTTGGGCGTTCCTCCACTGTGACGTCGGTCACGCCTGCCCCGGCCAGGGCGCAGAGGCCGACGTGTCACCATCCGGTTGCAGTCCTCAGTCGGGTCGCAACGTGTACCTCTTCCGCAGCGTGGAGCGCGCTCCCGCTGGGCAGCGATACAGCCAAAAGTAGCATAGCATGCGGGCGGCCAGCGCTGCGCCGGACAGCGGACCCCTGCCGGGGGTATGCCGGTCTCGGCCATTAGCGGGGTCGTCGGGGCCGAGGCTGTACATACAGCTGGTGACCGCGTGAGCCGCCAATCGAAGCTCACGGCTTATAAGCTCGACGCGGGCATCACACGCCGTCCCGATGGGAGCTCCACGACGCCGCCGCGAACTCCAGCGCGGCTCGCAGCGCGAAGACCAGTACGGACGGCCGGGGCAAACGGTGTGCGGGAGTCGCAGGCGACGTTCTGCGGACAGAAAGGGTTGGGCATAAGCTGGTCGGCAGGACACTCTTGAGCCGAGCCTTTGATGTAATTACAGATGATCCAGAAGCATGCACAAAAATTCATGACACACTATTCTCATTTATGTATTTGCTACATATGATATGATATACCAGCTCATGATCAGTGACGCATTCTGGGCAATATGTTCTAAAGTGAAGTAACTGAAGTTACAGCTAAAAGCTTAAAAAAACAGCTTAAAAAACACACACACACACATTCGATAGCTTATGAGAATAACATGCCTTGTGTGCTTTATGCTTAATGCAGGAAAATATTTTTTCCACTTTTTTAGAAACAGCAAAAGAGTTGTCAACAAGCCATGTCAACTATCTAAGCAATTTTTATGGAAACTGCTCTAGCTAGCTTAAAGTTCCACAACGTTTCCGGAGCACCGTACCCAAACTCAGTTCATGTTACAAGAAAAAACAGTAATAATGCCTCCTAATTTTGAATGAAATATAGGTATGAGTAATTTGATTTGGAAAGCAACAAATTTCCGCACATCATTTTAGCAAAATTACTATTTTCTTCAGCCATCAGGTTACACAAAACTATAGTAAACTTTATGATCTAGTTTACACAAAACCAAAGCCCCGATTTTAACAAATGTAGATAAAATTTAAACAATTTTAAAAAATGTATCGTGGAGAAAATGAAAAGTGTAGATTTGTAAAGCCGGGATATTTCAATTTCACGGATTAGGCACTTAAAGAAATATCTTCACCTTTCTTTGAGCCACCAGCCTTCACCCAAGTTTTACACGAATGTAGT